CCTGATGAGTCGGTGAAAGTCCGACGAAACAGTCTGGTACAGTCATGCTTTTTTTGAGTGTATAGCGAATATGACAACACACACACACACACACACACGGAGACTGGTTTCGGTCGTATGGTTCATACGGTCTCGTTTGAGACTTTGGATTGGCAAGGATAGATACATCGCCATTGTTGCATTCATGGTCGATTTGGCCCTTCTTTTTGTCATTTGATCTTTGCGAGGTGGGTCTGAGAGTGTTCTCTGTGGGTGTTGGGGTGGGCTCAGAGGTTGTGCTGCGCGTGAGATCCCCTTGGCCCAAGCTTCTTCTGGGACAAGTTGTGGGGGTCTCATTGGGGTGTTTTAGCCTGTAGAGGTCCTGTTGTCATGCAAACCCTCTTTCTCTTTCTGTCCATATGAACTGTGTCTGGCCAATGTGGGTTGTGAGGGTCGCAAAGTGTTTCCTTTTGCATTTCAAGCGCAATATGAAGGAACTTCTTTATGTATTTTGAGCACGGTGATGGCCATGCCTCTGTCGTTCTTGCGGATACTGTTAATGGATCGGAATTTGGTTGCTGATTTTGTACACGTACTGGTGTGTGCGGACTTTTGACTTTGACCCCAGAGTCCTGACCAGTGTAAATTTGGTTGCTGATTTTGTATGCATACTGGCATGTGCTGACTTTGACTTTGACCCCTGAGTAGTGTGAATATTTCGACTGCGGGTTGGTTAGGAAATCCGTTTTCCCCATTTGTCCCTGTTGACCACCGTGCATTGCGTGCATGCCCTTGCTGCTCGGTGCATTGCCGTGCATGCCCCTGCCACTCGGCAGATTAGTTGGTGTGTAGGCACTCACCCACTTGGCAGATTGGGGCTGCAGGCACTCACTCACCGCTTGGCATTCAATCACAGAACCTTCGCCAGCCTTACGCACTCGTAATTTTGAATTTTCATTTTCCCTCCTTGCTTCAGGCAGGATGTCGGTGTGATGTGATGTCCGGTGATTATTCTACCACAATGCGAGCGTCTATTCGGCAGTCGATTGAAGCCCATGTCATGTGCAGCACTTCTCTGCAGGTGGCGCTATCTTCGGTGGATGTGTTTCTCGTGATCAGAGCAGGGTTTCCTCTGGTCGAGGTGCTTCTGAGGGCGTACTGTATCTGACCGCATTTGCGGCCGGACACGGACGGATCTGATCACAACCACATCCATAAATGCGTCAACAAGTCCTCGTGTGAGTACGCCCTGAGAGACAGCGGCATGATCAGTAGGGTTTTCTATGTCAGAAATTTTCAGTGAATAAAAGCAGCGAAGTTCTGGACCTCATCGAAGGCTGTGTGACTCTCTGGCACGGAGTGACCAGATCTGTAGAAAACTTTGGGACGTGTATGAAAGCAGCCGTTGCTCGGACTAGGATACGCTAAATATACAATACAAGAGCCCATTCTTTTCTTTTCTTTTTCCAAGGGATCTATAGTTTTGTTGCCCTCTCAGAACAAAAGGGTTGGAATTTTCATGATTGATACTGTGTGGAATGAACTTTTTTTAACGAAAGAATAAAGTAGGAAAATTATTAAATTACTAAAATTAGGAAATTAGAAATTGATTTCATTTCTTGTTCCTGGCACTTCCTGCAGAATAATGAGAAGCGACTTCGATTCACAAATAAATAATAAAATTAAATAAATATTAAATATCGCGAGTTAGTAAATCAGACTAAATCAAATGTATGAAGTTTACCATTAGTGGGTGTGTGCTGAGACCGCTGGCTCTTCGTTGCTGATTTTGGATCGCTCCATAGTGGGATCGCCAGAGTCCATTGTGTGTCGAAATCCGTCCAAGTTGCATTGTACCACTCCTATCTGTTGGTGCAGCATAAAAAAAAAAAAAAAAAAAAAAAAAAAAAAAAAGAGAATGGACCCGTGGACGTCTACCTCACGGACGTCGGGGGCTGGTTGTAGTAATCGGTCGTCGATCTGTGTCACAACACAGTGGATAAGCGTTTATCGGCGAGCGTCGGAGCTATTGAAAATGATCAGGAACTTGAAGTGATATTTCGGGTTTCGTTTTTGAAAATCTCACCATGGCTCTGTTGAGTCTGTTGTAAGTTCTGCGTTTAGGTGTTGTATGAGAATTTCTCTGATGTGTCTCTGACGTCAGGCCAAGTTTCTTCGCTGTGCTGGGTTTGGTTTGTTTTCAACTTTTTATGTTCCTCTTATGTTTGTTTAGATTTTGCACGGACAAAGAATAATGTATCTGGCCTGGCTGGAGGTGGGGGTGGGGGGGGGGGAGTGAGTTATGGGCATAGACTGCCACTACCAATTTTGTGTAACTTGCAGCTGCAGATGGTTGCAGCGCGGTGTTTGTTGATGATAGGCATCCCAGTTTTTCCTTTTTGTTGTTGTGTTGTTTTCCTGGAGCTTGTTTAGTTTGTGATCGGACCGATGGTGGTTTACTTGTGCGCGGACAAATCATAATGTTTGTGGGTTTAGGGTGGGCAGTCTCAAAGTGTGGCATGGAGTCCGATGTGTTTTCGTGCATTGGTTGCTGAGCGGTGCGTCTGATGGCAGGCAAAAATTCCTCGCTTTTTTTAGTTTTTTTCCCTGATGCTGGTTTAGTTTGTTCCGCGAGCAATGTTTGATTAGCTCGTGCACAGAATACAATGCGTGTTGGTGAGTCTGGCACCTCCGACTGGCGCGGGGGAAGGAATCGTTTGATTTTAGCTGTGCGATGAATGACTTCAATGGTTGGCATGTTGTGGTCAATGGCTGTTGTTGTGTTGTACGGTGTTGTTGTCATCAGTGTTATGGAGTTGGCTGCCCGGGTAGCTGCCGGGCAATTGTTAGCCGTGGTGTTTGAATCTCAATGGGTCCTTCGCTACGGTATTTGGGCAGGTGTCACGCAGGTGCCTCCTGACCTTTTTGGCGTGACGCTCTTGGCACGCATGCATCTCTGTTGGCAAGTCTTCAATGTGTGTGTGTGTGTGTGTGTGTGTGTGTGAGAGAGAGAGAGAGAGAGAGAGAGTAGTGGAGTGTTGGAGAGGGAGAGGGAGAGGGAGATTGAGAGTGACAGCTAGCCAGTTTGTCACAGAGATTGTCAGCTGGCGAGATTGCTACAGCAGCTTGGACGACTTGGGTGGAATGAGGTTAATAATGGTGTTGGGATCAACGGCCGTGATATGGCCGAGCACAATTATATTTACCCAGTTAGTTGGTGTGGTGTTTGTGTATACACGGTTGGTGGGGTGCAACCCGTCGTTAACAGTGTGGGAGTCTACCAATTATTGCTCGGCTGTTGTAGTTTGTGTTCTCTTTTTTGAAACGAGTGCGGGCGCAGCAGGTTTCGAAGTTCAAACTCGAATGGGCAAAAAAAACATGCAGGGGCGAAACAAACAGCCGCTGAACTGGAATGGGCACGCATGGGCAAAATAGATCCGTTGGGCCTTTTTCTTCTACTTCTCTTTTCCCGCCTGACACCACGGCTGCCCCCTGTTGTTATGACAGTCGGCCTGACACCAAGGCCGCGGTACTGTCATGTACTTTTTGAACTCGGCGGCTGTTTTCTTCATCCAAGCGCGTTTTCTTTGCCCATTTGAGACTCTGCTCTGACATAAACGGACTTGCCCGTTCTTTTTTCTTTTTTTTCAATTGTAAAGCTTTAGCATATCTGGACGGCTGAGAGTTTATCTGAATTCATGCATCCCTTGCTTTTCTCCAAAAAGCCCAAAAGAAAGTATCTGGATTGCTGTACAAGGATTCCTTGCTGCTTTCCAAAAAACAAATCGAAATTATATGGATTGCCGTATGGTCAAATACACGGGTGGTTCGATCTGGATCGAGTCGTCCTCGTGTACATACCCATACCACAGGTGCAGAAGTGGTTCAATCTGGTTCCACTGCCCCTGGTGTACATATCCGTACCAGAGATGCAGAGGTGGTTCAATCTGGTTCTAGTGCCCCTGGTGTACATATCCATACCACAGGTGCAGAGGTGGTTCAATCTGGTTCTAGTGCCCCTGGTGTGCATACCCGTACCAGTGATGCAATATGGTTCTAGTGCCCCTGGTGTACATATCTGTGCCACAGATGCAGAGATGGTTCATTCATTCTGGTTCTAGTGTCCCCGCTGTACATATCCGTACCACAGGTGCAGACATTTGAACGCTTCCGATGTGGAGACATCTGGTAAAAGGATGTTTGAGTACATTTAACTTGCTCCGCTTGATCCGGTATCCCTCTCCGAGGCATGGCGCACACCCCGCTCTCAGGCATTGTGCAGAACCAAGGAATCAGTGAGGTGTGGAGCGACGGTAATGTGAGCAGTGGAAGAGTGGAAAAGCACCAATCTGACTCGTCCGACTTTGCTCACGACACGCACATGCATCGTCACAAACGAGATGGGCAAGGCGGATGCATAGATGGAAGAAAGATCCCGCCTTGCCCAACGCGCATCGGAAGAGAAACCACGGATGATGGAGGCCAAGGGATGACATGAAGGTGGCAAGGAAAGGAGAACAAATTTCGAAGAAGGGACTGTAACTCGATGCATCTGTCGAATGACAATAGCCTCTCGCAATAGTCCCGAAATAGTCTCAGGCGAAATGACGTGTCGAATCCTGGGGGATAATCCCTGAAGATGGTCATGATGTCTATAATCTCTCTCTCTTTTACTCTCTGTAGAGGAGGGATGGTGGATATGGAGGGCGGAGCAAGGAGGAGAGAGAAGAACAACAATCTCTCTCTCTCTCTCTCTCTCTCTCTCTCTCTCTCTCTCTCTCTCTCTCTCTCTCTCTCTCTCTCAACCTGATACTGACCAGCAGAAGAAGTTTTTAGCTGTCATGTGCTACAGGTGGAAG